TTCTGTCCTCACTGACAGAACGCGTGGTGACGCATTGCGATGCGAAACTCCGCTAGCGAAACGGCTGCGTCTGTGTAACAGCCATTTCGCAGTTACTTGCGAAACAATACCGACAAGAACGCAACTATTTCATCTAGCTATATAATAGAGCGAGACAAAACACATGCGAAACGTTGCCATACAACTTACAGTTTTTTCGTCGTTTCGCTGCCGCATGCGATTGCGTAGGTGTACCTACATTTGCTAAGTGTAATCTCTGGAACTAATTTTTGTGTGGAATCAAGAAGATTGCAAAATCGGGAAACGCATTCCTTATTGTGCTCCTTTGCGTATATTTAGTGAATGATTTACGAATTGTTCCTGTTTAACTATAATAATTATGATGATAGCGTCTGACTTACGCAGAGTTGAAGATGCTACTGAGACATAACATGTAGTTTAGTACCGGTGACCACAGAGCTGGCACTTTCCTGGCTCAAAGAATAAGTCTCGCAATACAGCGAGGAAATGCTGCCAGCGTTAAAGGTACACTGCCACAGGGACCAAACTTTTTAAATTTGTTTTGATTTTCTTCTTTCTTCTTTAATTATTTTTATTATTACTTTATAGGTTAAGAAAATTGTAAATACTGTATTTGTGTAAATAAAATGTACATAGTTACAGATTACATACACCTCACAAAAATGCATTTGTTAAAAAAAATTGAGAGAAAATGTTAACACTTAAAAAAAACAAAATTGCAGTTGAAAAAAAACTTTGTTTGGTACCCAAATCCTACACATACGTGTTTATTCATTTTTTTATGTTGTATATTGTTATAATGAATAAACACATTTTAATTTATTAACACTTCGTTGCGAGGATACAGAAATACAGTACAATTAAAGTTTTTTTTTTTTTGGTTGGACAATTCACACCAATTGACCTAGTCCCATGCTAAGCTGGTGAAGCTCGTGTTATGGGTACTAGGCAACGGATATACATACATATTATAGATAGATAGACATATAAATACATATTTAAACATCCAAGACCAAAATATGCTCATCTCGGCCGGGGATCGAACCCGGGACCCATGGATTCTCAGTCAGGGGTACTAGCCACTCGACTAATAAGCCGTCCAAAGTAATTAAATAAAGAGGAGGGCAACTGGCCTTAACGCTTAAGAGCAATCTCTTCCAGGCAACCACTGTGAGGAAAAAAAATTAGATAAAGAAATGCTAAAATACATCTATAAAAGTGAAAAAAGTCAAAAATCCTTTATTCATGTAGGTAACACAATGTATACGTCTTATAAACGTCAAAAAAGAAATATATATATTAAATGCTTCTAATTTTGCATTTACCTACTGCCAGTTCTCAAATTAAGGGCGTAGGACGGAAGAGAAGAACTGGCAATAAACTCTCCGTCACTCTTTTTAATCGCCAAGGTTTTTTTACACAACGTTTGTCAGGAGCTGCAACCATTACACCATGTTCCACATGACATCTTAAGTAACAAATAATAATAAAATAATGATAATAAACCTTTTTGATCCACATCCTATTGACATATATTTAACAAAAATAGATAGATATAAATAAAATTTCTATTCTAAGATGCGGGGGTGTCCGGCAAGCCTCCTCCAACCTTTTCCACCCTATTTTATTTTGTGCTACCGTCATTAAATTTTTTCCAGCTATCGATCCCGTGTCCCATCGCTCTATTGGTCTGCCCAGTCCTTTTGGACCAGTCCATTACTATTTACCATCACTCATCTATATAACAGGCTAAACTACATAAGACATAAAATTACTTATTCAAACCAATGGTACAAAGCAAAGTAATTTTTTTTTTTTTTTATTCCTTTATTTTACAAAATAATATAATACAATCATAATATGTTACATTAGAAAACCGCTGTGGTTTGTATAAATGTAACCATAGCAGTCTTGTTTAGGAGCGCGACAAATGCATATAAAAGTAGTTTTTTAATTTACTTTTTATGTTGGTTGGCGTTAGGCAATCTAAAATCTGATTGGGTAGACCATTTATTAGCCGCGGTAGCAAATACCTCAACGTTCTCTCGCCGTATACGTTGTTTTCCCTCGATGTACAGAGCCGAACTTGCGTTACCGCTCGGGTCTGTACGTCATGCTCCACTCGTTTTTTTTATGTCATCTCGAAAAAAGTGCTCGACTAGAAGACATTTATTAACTTTTTCTGATATGGGCAATATTTTACAGTGTTTGAAAACTCCTGTTTCTTCATTTTTATATGAGTCGAGCACATTTCTCGAGACAACGTGTTTGAGGATTCGCATTTGGAGATTATATATTCGGTTGAGATACGTCGGATAAGTTCTACCGTAGCTACTCAGACCGTAATTGATGACTGACTCGCAAAGCGCGTTGTAAAGTGAAAGTTTGGTTTTAAATGGGATACGCTTTTTGAGTATTGTTATTTGTGCCAAAAACTGTCGTAGCTTATCGCAGACGTATTCTATGTGTTGATTCCAATGCATGTTTTTGTCTATAATTAATCCGAGATATTTTTGTTTATCAACTATTTGTATAGAAGGGCACTTGCACACTGTTGATTTGTGGAGACATGCGTGATCGTGAGCCACCAATGCTATACCAGTGGCTTCTTTGATGGAATTGGATTGTATGATAAGTAGTTTTGTCTTTTCAATATTAAGTACTAGTTTAGCATCATGGCACCACTTTAGTATGTTGTTAAAATCTGATTGTAACCTTTCAATAGCTTTATGAGGGTCCCTATCTCCAACTAACAAACACGTATCATCTGCGAACTGGTAACAAGTGGAGTGTTCTACTTGGCTATGCATTTGGTTTACGTAAGTCAAAAAATGGAGAGGCCCGAGGACCGAGCCTTGGGCGGTGCCTTCTGATACTGAAACCACCTCGCTGTGGGTATCGTTTATTTTCACTACATAAGTACGATTTTTTAGATAATTTGAACACCAAGTGCCTAGTGGCCCCTGAATTCCTATAAGATTAAGTCTATCCTCAAGTTGTTTATGATCCAAAGTATCAAAAGCGCGGGAAAAATCGATAAACAAAGCAAGGGTATATTTTTTGAGATCAAGGTTATTATTTACTTCGTCCGTGAAACGCGATAGCAGCCCCGAGGTATTTTTGCCTGCTTGAAACCCAAATTGGTTCTTGTATATTATGTCATGTCGCTTAAAAAAAGATTTAATTTGTTCCCCGATATATTTCTCTACTATCTTGTTTATAGAAGATAGTATCGTTATAGGACGGTAGTTGGCATAGTCACCTTTCTTTCCTTTTTTAAAGACAGGTCTTACACATCCTTGTTTTAAATCATTTGGATAAAGCCCGTATTTAATACTTTGGTTAATTAGATTTTTTATTGCAGGAGAAACTTCGTTTTTTATTAACTTTAGGTCGGATACTTTTATGCTATCAAGGCCCGGAGTTTTCCGAGAATTTAGATTTTGTATAATTTTATTAATTTGTTCTTCGGTCGCGTATTTGAACCGTATGCTTTGGTTCGTTTGGTCACACATGATGTCCGTGTTTGCTAATTTTGTATCACAGTCAACGACACTTTTTTCGACAGTAGTGCTGAAATGTCGGGCAAAGTTGTCAGCTAGTTGTTTAACCGAGATACCTTGCGAGTCAAAAGCTTTCATGAATTAAAACATGTAAACAGAAAAAGGACATTAATAATAAAAAAAAATATTGAACCACAAAGGTTATATACATATATTATTTACCAGGCTTTAAGCCAAATAAATACTTTATTGATCAAAATGTTTAAGTTTAAACTATTGAGGTCATACAGCGTTATAATATTGGTGTAACTAAATACATAGATACAGTATCTATACCTAATATTTACATTTAATTCACTACGCAAGTTATAGGATGAATAAATTCTCATTTACATTTCAATTTTGTCCTGTTCGAATTCCCTGGTGTCACGTGGCTTGCCAAGGCCCGCAGTGCGGCGGACGCATAAATTTTAACCGCCCAAAATACACCCGCTTCATCAGCTAGTTTCCTTCATTCTAATTTTTTTACATCCGATAACACGTAGCATTTTCGACTGCAGATCCTAAGACTCTGACTTACTGACTATATAAAAAAAATCATAAGAATCGGTTTAGCCGTTTAGGACGAGTATGGAACGAACATTGTGACTAGAGAATTTTATATATTACTAGTGGACCCCACAGACGTTGTCCTGCATGATATTTAAAGCGATTAGGATATTAAGCAAAGTATGAAAGTACCGACTGCAGTGCCATCTGCCGGGCTGATTTGTGAATCTAAACCATTCCCAGATCCCCTTGAACAAACACAAAAATTTCATCAAAAGCGGTCCAGTCGTTTGAGAGAAGTTCAGTGACATACACACTCACAGAAGAATTATATATATAAAGACTAGTAGACTCGGCTAAGCGTTGCTATGACTAAGATTTTTGTTATATTACATAGTAGTAAACTATTCAAGAGAAACGGCAGGAGAACACCAATCCACCATGCTTTTTTGGTGGTTTTGCCATTAAATTGCAGCTTATGTGAAACGTTGGTATTTATTTTGATAAGGATCAATACCTAGGTATGAATAAAGAGCCTTTTCTAGCGGTGGTATTTTAATAAATAAAATTAATAAAAGGACGTTTATTGTGACGTAACTATAAAAGATAGAGACATGCTGGCGCGATATTTTTTATAGATAATGATGTGTCCTGAAAAATTGAGATACATCATTTTGTTCTATCATTAATAGTTTTCGCAGCGCACGCGATTGAAGGAAGTTTTTTGTTTATTTTTTTACACCTTGGGTTACATTATTCAAGTTTTAGTAAGCATCCCTAATTTGAAAATAAAAACATAGCCTATGTTAATCGAGAATAGTGTAGATTTTTGAAATCGGTCCAGTAGTTTCGGAGCCAATTCATTTCAAACAAACAAAAAATCAAATCTTTCCTCTTTATAATATTAGTATAGAAGAACATTATCACTCAGCTTTGGTGCATTCCCTTTTTGTAGACTAGACTTTTCAGAAGTCTCCCGGGTTGAATAATATCCGGTAAAGGCTTATTTATAATAAATGTTAGTATGTTTGCAGGCGCGCTGGAGGGCGGTCCCCTGGGCGGCAGCGGCGGCGCGCTCGGGCCACTGCGCGCGCCCAGCTCGCCGCCCGCCTCCAGCGTAGCGACCAGTCGCCACAGTCTCATGGGTAAGTATTTATTTAATCTTATATAACCTAAGGGTAAGATTAAGACACGTAAATATTACTCCCGCAGGTCAAAAACTTATTGGATTACAGCCTTGCGATTTTGTAAGTCACTTATCGAACTCTCACAGCGGTTTTCGCAGCGGCGGTCGCGCTCAAATCAGTCATTTTATGATTTGGAATACTGATAAGGAGGGAGCTTGTAATTTTTTTGTGAAAACAGCTGTGTGAGTTCGAAAAGTGAGTTACAGAATCGCAAGGCAGTTACATACAGATTCTACTTTTGATGCATTTTTTGTAATATGAATGTATGGTTACAATACAGTACTACCCTTTAACGCGGTAGACACGGACGGCGATATAGGAAATCGCGTTGTAGGAGGATTCTGATAAAACCGTTTTGAACAATTCAAAAGCTAGGAACACGAATTTAATAAAGATATTTAATTTAATTTTATAACGCAATTGAAACAGGCGCAAAGGTACACAAAACTAATTATGCACTTGGCAAATCATTATTTAAATTTCACACTAAAGAAATATAACTTGAGAACTGGATTACTGTATTTCTAAAATAAAAGATATAACCTAAAATTCAATGCCAAAAGTTAGAAGTTTTTTTTAATATTATGGCAATAGTTTTAACTTTATGCCAGTTTGAAGTAAAAAAAGTTAGAAGTTTCTATTGTTATGAACACCGCATCGTCTATACTCTATGACATATTTCATATTTTTTATTGATCTGTGGCCGCGCGCACGTTTGGCGCCATTCTTAACAGTTAATTACGAAGGCCACAGCCGAAGGCTTAAATAAAACTAAAATTAAAATAAAATTACAATTTAAATTATAATTAAAATTACGGCTTAACAACCCGAGTAAGGAAATTGAATGCACATTAAATATAGCAACAATTGCTGACACCATGCAACGTGAGGCTCGTGTAACTCTTGTAAGTTGCGACATCCGAATTCCGCTGACACTTTATATATTGCGAATGCAGATTCCATGGTATACAACAAGTTTTAGCACATTCTCTTGTGTTAACATATAATACTAAAATCAAATATATATTAAACTAAAACTATATGTAGTCGCAGTTTGGTCATAAAATTAACAATGGCCTTAAGGGCCTCATAGCCTAGTGGTCTTATTTAGTGGCAGCTAGGTGAGGGGTACCGGGTTCGATTCCCGGTTCGAGGGCGAGTTTTAATTTAATTTAAATTTGTTCTCGGCCTTTGGGAGGGTTGTGGGGTACCGGGCGAGTGCTTAAATCGTACATGGAGGACACGATCGAATTTTTAAGGCAAGCACGAATTATAAAAATTTGATACTTGACGCTGGCTAATGCACAAGCCGTGCCAGAGCCATAAAAAAAAACAAAGGCCTTTTCAATAATCTGTGGAACCATAAACAAAAAAATATTACCGAGTTAGTATATCACATTTGTTGTTTGTGCATATAAAATGGAGAGCGGGTTTCAAAGTACCTAAATCCAGTTAAAAATAGTACCGGTCCCGACTCGAACACTTTAATTTTTATCTCCTCTAGTAGTAGGTAAGTAGTACTTGTCTTGTACTACTCATGAAGTAGAATTACGTTTATTTATTTTACTATCACACCTTGAGGGTTGATTTTTAAGTATTATCATAAATCCAAACAAGCAATAACAAAAGATAGAATGTGTTGCCCGCGTTTGTTTTTTAATTTTATGGTCTAGAAATGAGACTTTTATGCCAAGCTTATTTTCGATTACAAAATTTCACTTATTTTTTTGCATGTTACTTTACGTTCTACGGTATTTTTAACGTATTTATATAATGCACTATAACACTTTTAGTTTTTGAGAAAATCACACAACTGGCGGCGGGAGGTATCACCACTTTCCATTATTTCACTTGGAATGAAAAATGAATTGAAATATGAAAAATCAACATTTGGTTTTGGCATTTAAAAAAGATATGGTACAGATCTCGTTATTACAAAAAGTGCAAAAATGGTTATCTGTATTTTTCAGTTACGCGAGGTGTGCGGGTGCAGTGTTTCCCGCGTTTTAACAGAAACTTTTTTTGTCTTCGCGCGGATTCGACAGCCAGTAACGTTTTCATACTAAGTTTGTATTCGATCTCTTTGGTGATTTCAACGAACACTATACATTCCAAATTCAAATCACTTTTCATCGCTATAGATTATATATAGATTAAAAAGGGATAAAGTCAAGTCAAAAATCATTATATCATATAGGTAACACAATGAACACTTATAAACGGGTATGAAACTTTGAATATATATTCTTAGAAAAAAGTCCCCACCCAGCAAACCAGACCGAGTGAGAGGTTATAAAACAGGATTGAAACACCGGATTAGGGGCGCCCATTCAGGCCGAGCTACGCTCGCCAAAACAGCCCGAGCTGAGCTGTAAAGGCCCTAAAGGCCAACAGCGAGATTCCATTAGAAAAAAAAGGATTATTCTACGTTTGGTTCTCGGACGTGACGGAGGTTTCAGTTGTGTTGAGTTGTTCTATTTAGTTGTGTTAATTATTATTATATTGTTGTAATTAGTTAAATAAACTAATTTTGTAAGGAATAAAACTTCCTAGGCCGTGTTTGTCTTTTTTTAATATTTACCGCTTCTAATTTCTAAGAATATGATACAAATTTAGTTAACTTTGCGATAAATTCCTTAAAGCTTTAAGCGTGTTCATTACGACAGCATAGTTTAATTAACAGGATTGCGAATGTCCTAACACAATTGATGAGTTGTGTAACAGAGTCCCCCATCTATATTAGGCCGCTTCACCTAACATCTAATTAATTTCGTCTAATTTTCACAGACAGCTTCTAAATTAGTTCTAAACACTGCGTGACCTCGCCTCATCTGAAACTAAAGTGATAAAGCAATCAACTACAAATAAACAAACAAATATTTCTGAGATATGGAAACATTTTTTTTTCAAAATTATAACTTCTTTTCATTAAGGCACATATAAAAACAGGTAACATAAATTATTGTTAGGGATGTAAGGGGCGGCCTTGTGGCTAACAAGCGATCTCTTTTATGCGACCTTAGTAAGGATAAAGAAGGAAAGGAAAACTAAGGGAAAAGTGCATGACTAAATTAAGAAAAAGAAAATTACAAGTAGCACTGAAAAATTATACAATTACTGAACTAAAATCTGAAATAAAAAAAATTTGATCATGGAGATCCGCTCAACTTTTGCTCCATCATCACCAAATGGCGATCTACAGGTACTTAGAAAAAAATAAAAACTACAAGGTACAAATTCTAGGAGATTTTTATTATTTTCCGTTCTATAATGTTGTTTGTAAATGGCTTATTCATTACGAACTTCTTTCGACATCGTTAGCAGTCGGCACAAACATTTCCGAGAAAATACCAAGTTTTGTTTATGAAACCACTAATGGATATGAAACCACAGACACTTAAACTGAGCTCCAAAATGCATTATGAGTAAATGTGAAAGCAATTTATAATGCATATATTATTATATTTTACGATAAGCTGTGGTGGCTTTGTTACGCACAGACCATGTCAACTGTCATTTGCCACTTCGATTTTTTTCTTTTTTATTTACCGGCCAGGAATTAGAATATTATTTTTTATTTATATACTCATTTTGACATTCCAAATTCAAACAAAAAGAAAGAAAGAATATTGTAAGATAATTGTTCAAAGTTTAAATCTCCAAGGAGATCCATTATAATTTGGTGCTAGGATTACTATAGTCTGTGACATTCCAAGTTAGAAGACATAATTAATTTAATAATTAAGGTCCATTTCAATGTATGACTTAAAGACATATCTAGTTATTAAATTCTGATTATTATAATTGTGTAAGTTGTTTTTCTTTTATACAGAATGTATTAACGGGTACGTTGTATTGAAAGTTTTTAGTTAGGGTTAGGGTAAGTTAGGGTGGACCACCCTTAACATTTAGGTGTTTGAAAGATAGATAGTAGCCGATTTGATAATCGGACTCATCAGACTTACTGAATATGCATAAAAAAATTCATAAGAATTGGATGAGCCGTTTCGGAGGAGTATGGGAACGAACATTGTGACACAAGAATTTGATATATTAAATTGAATTACAAGTTTTCTTATTACAAAAATCAAACCAATACAACAGGAAACGGAAGTAGTATCAACAATACGAAGCGAATAAGGGGAAGGAAATAGTCACAACGTGCTTGTAATGGGTCGCTTGGAATTATTCATGTTGTATTTAATGATGAATAGAAAGCGATTCGAAGTAATGTGAATATATTAACTACATAAGGGCGTATGTATTTAATGATTCTTTCTACGTGTTTCTACACTTGCTTTTATGGTATCTATGCATCTTCTACCGCATTAACCATGGAGTAAGTGGAGTTATTTAGATTCATACCAGCAGCTGAGTTTCATCATCACGTCAAAGCAGAATACAAAATTTCATCCGTATCAAAATTCAAACTCATATAGGTAACACAATGTACACTTATGAACGTCAAAACAAAATATATATGAAATGCTTCTAATTTTACATTTACTGCCAGTTCAAATCAAGGGCGTAGAACGGAAGAGAAGAACTGGCAATCCTCTCCGCAACTCTTTTTTATCTCCTCGACGTCCGTCACAACTGACCGTTTTATTAAGGCAGTTTTTTGCCGCGCACCACCACTATGTGGAACAGGTGCCCACTGAAGTATTTCAGAACCAATTCGACGTAGGGTCCTTCCAGAGAAGAGAGTACCAATATAAAGATCGACTTAGCTTACGAGCGTTCCGGCAGCGTGAGTGTCTATTGGTGGTATCACTTACCATCAGATGAGCATACTGCCGGTTTGCCGCTGTATATATATAAAAAAGTTGATGATTTTTATTTTTTTTCTGCTTAGTGCCAAGTGAAAATTTTATTTTATGTTTATGTTAAAAAAAATATTTTATTTTAATGTGTGTATTGTCGTGTGTGTTTTAGTTGTATTTTTTTGTAAGGTTT